CGGTTGTACTCTCACCTGGTGTATATGACCAAACCGTTAAGTGAGGTCATAAAAGGCTTGTGTCCCTTTAATTGGACTTAGTGGTAAATTATATTACATTACATTATACAGTGTTTATATAGCGCCAAAGGGTTTGCTCAGCGCTGTACATTATAGTGGGGGACAGTACAAGAGACCATACAGTAACAATACAATACACGAGGGGTTCGAGGGTCCTGCTCTTTCGAGTTTACAATCTTTCCCTGGGATGGATGGATGAACGGAGTGTTCCCTCTTTCCAGCAGGGGGTCTCCTCGCTTCCTTATGGATTTTCCTGGAGCCGGATGGATGGATGGGAATATGACAGTGGTTCTTACCATTCCATTCTCTATACAAAGTGAAAAAAATCAAGTTTTGCCTTTACATACGCTTTAACCCTAGGTTCACATCTGTGCCGGTGGTGCCGCTGCAGATCCGCACGAAAATCCGTGCAGCCGCACCACCCACTCAGAGAAGTGGGGACACGCGGGGGGTGTGCCTTTAGTTCTAATGGCTCGCCGCCCGCACTGGAAAACACAACCGTACTGGGAACCGAGGTTCCCATGCGGGCTGCGTTTTCCAAAGAAGGGCAGGGACTTCTTCCCTGCGTGTCACGGGCACGGGAGTCCATTCAAATGAATGGGCTCTCGTGCCCGTGCAAAACGCGGCCCGCACGGCCGCATAGATGTGAACCGGGGGTAAGGCTTTATGGGCACATGAGGCTTTGTAGCATACATTTCTGTACCCAGGATACACAACTGAAAGCATATATTGCTGGAACACCAAGGATCTTCAAAATAATGTCTAAAAATATATCAAATCAGTCACATCACAGCAGTAAATTGTGAAGTTTCAAGGTTATGCAGCACCCCTTCATCGTCACATGCCTGATAAAGGGGTTCTGTATGGCCCCAAAACATTGCAATTTACTGTTGTGATGTGATTGCTTTAACACATTTTGGATGCTCTTCTGAAGATGCTTCGACTTTGACTTGTGTTGATACCAGTTTCAAACAAATGCAAGCTTTAAACCGATAGCAACAAAAGTCGAAGCATATAACATGAGCACACCATGGATCTTTAAAATAGAGTTTAAAATAGAGAATAGAATTTTATTAAGGTGATCAGGGGTTTCAGGGCCACCCTGCACTCCTTGATGGTAGGACCCTGTGTGGCCCCAAAATATCAAAATTTACTGCTGTGATGTGATTGCACTAATACATTTTTGGATGCTCCTTTGAAGATCCATGGTGTTTGCTACAGTGTTCACTTGTTGCAAGCCATCTTCAGGAATGTGCACCATGGGAAAATTCTACTCAGGATACACAGCTTCCACATACAGCAGGCCATTAAGGCTGGGCCACCCAAGCTGAAATAGGACTGGGTGACCCAATCCTTTGCTCAATAGGACTTCCTAACCCAACATCTCCAGCGGCTTGGGTGGAGCCATTGCCTAATTAATAACTAGCAGAAGGCAAGTCTATAGATCAAAAGAGATAGTGACTAGGGAAATGCACATTGCTGCTAATGGCACTTAAGTCCAACATTTATCATTAGTGTAATTTGATTAAAGTAATAGCAGGCCGCGAACGTCTTACAACTAACAAAGGAACGTCTGACACCACTTATGGAGTGTACATGCCTCCACCGGGCAGAGTGCCCCCTTCATCGATGGCCATTATCCATAGATTGGAATTATTAAACCCAGACAGGATGTCAGCTTGTCCTCTTCAACATGTTGAGGGCACTCTTACTGATGAAAACGGAGACAGGCAAAATGATACTAATTTGGCCAATTCTGGAACCCCTTTCCTTCATCCTGGTAACGGCGCTCTAAAAATAAACAACCATGGGGTCCACAAAATTGAGCCGATTCATGTTTGGCGGCCTCTGAAGGCGACCTAAAATGGACATTTCCTTTTTTTACATGACCTTTGCTGGCTACAGAGGGAGGCCGGTTTAAAAAGAAAGCTCTGTTGTACAAAAAAAAAAAGTAAAGAAAAAGCCAGCCTTCAACATTTGACCTGCAGTTGTTATGTTACTTAGATTAGTTTAAGTGCAACCAGCAGAGGTGTGTTGAGTGCAGCTCATTATCCGGGGCCCCCTCGGACATCTGCTTGTTATTTGCTGGTGTCTGGCTGCTGGTATGCGGCGGCAAGTCTCAGAACAAACACAAGAGGATTGTGTTCCTGGCACATAAGCCCAAAGCGACTACACGAGGTGTGCGCGGGATTGCAAATACAAAAGAGAGGGCCTGCGCCTACCAGCTCCAATTCATTTATTAGACAGGAATAACATAGCACACGTTACCTGTTACAGCTTTCTAAGCTCCGGCCCCGGCCCTCCTGTAATTCTCTGATTAAATCCAGGAGCGTGCGCGGGCCTTTTACTGGAGCTGGAGCTGGGATTATTGCCGAGGAAATGTTTCCAAGCGCATTTTGTAGGCAAGGCTTTGTGAGACACACAAGGTGGTAAAAGCTGAACAACATTGGAGCATTACAACCAGCCTGGGCCTCTCCTATGAATGAAGCATAAGGGGGTCTACATAGGAAGAGGCTGAAAACTTGAATCGGGTTTACAACTTTTTGATCTGCTTCCAGTTTTATAGGCCGGACAACTAGAGAAATGAGGAAACATCTTTTTGAGGTTCGCAGTTTTCTGTCTGCATTGTCATGCAGTTTTTTTTGTATGATTTTGATGCATTTGTCATGTACGCCCACTGAAATGCCACACCAAAAAAAAGCCAACAAATCACCATAGAAAATAATGGTAATCCTATGACAGTCACAGGCAGCCAGGGACTCAAAGGGGCTGATTTACTAAAGGCAGTTGCAGTTGCACTCTGCACGTGCAGTTGCTAAAGAGCAACGTAAATGAGCAGAAGCTCTGTTGACCCTGCATCATCCAATCATGTGCAAGTAAATAGGCTTTTTTTTTTAATTTTCTCTGCACGTGATTGGGTATTCTTTGCAAAGTGAAGTTGTACCTCATTTACTAAACTCTGGAGCAACTGCACTGGCAGAGTGCAGCTGCACTTTGCAAAGTGCACAGTCTATTTGTCTTTAGTAAATCAACCCCAAAGTGTATTTAAATCAAGAACAAAAATGTAATACAGGCGTACCTCGGTTTACGAACGCCTCGGTTAACATCATTTTCGGTTTATGAATGAAAATCCTTTGAAAATAATGCTTCGGTTTACGCATTTTTTTCGCAATACGAACGGATTAATTGGTTTTCAATGCATTTACAATTTTTTTTAATCATGTCCCTGTACAGTATTTATGCCTTTAAAGTGCACTTTATAAAGAGTTTTGAACAGATAAAACTTTTTTTGACTTTTTTCTGACCTCCGGAACAGATTAATTGGTTTTCAGTGCATTTACAAATTTGTTTTTAAACATGTCCCTGTACAGTATTTATGCCTTTAAAGTGCACTTTATAAAGAGTTTTGAACAGATAGACTTTTTTTTACTTTTTTCTGACCTCCGGAACAGATTAATTGGTTTTCAATGCATTTACGAATTTGTTTTAAATCATGTCCCTGTACAGTATTTATGCCTTTAAAGTGCATTTTCTAAAGAGTTTTGAACAGATAAAAGACTTTTTTTGACTTTTTTTCTGACCTCCGGAACTTGGTTTTCAAGGCATTCTTATGGGAAACCGCGGTTTGGTTTACAAATTTTTCGCAATACAAAAAGTCCAGCAGAACGCATTAAATTTGTAAACAGAGGTACGCCTGTATACCGCAGCTTACCTTTACCACTCTTTAGATGTGTTGGCTGCATTAAAGTATATGTGAACTGTCACCTTGTAAAACAACCTATTCAGTTTAAAATAGAAATAGAAAGTAAATGTTTTGTGTATATAAAAACACATTATAAACACTTTTTCTTTCTTTTTTTTTTTTAAATAAGTGAACACATAGGGGGAGATTTACTAAAACTGGTGGACTGAAAATCTGGTGCAGCCGTGCTGTGAAGTATCCCCGCTTTCAGAAAACAATAGCTCAGAAGGGAGGAGTCAGGTTTTTTTTCAACCCTCTGGTTGAGCGAAAAAAAACAAACTCATCTATGGGCTGCCCAAGCCAGAAAATGGACCAGGAATACAGACAAGGCTGTGTCAGGGGGTAGATGTCACCTACGCTGGCCATTTTTTTCCACTTTCCCATACAGCAAAGATTGCCATTTTGGTCGGCAGCAGCAGCATATACCACACTCCAGCCTTTGTACACCCCCCTTCCCACACCGTAAGTCCATGAGTGCCACCCAAGGTGGTCAACTCAGTTGGCCCTATTGACAGCATGGCTTTGACAACAGACCGCTCCCCCCACCCTTTCCTCATCTTTTTTTATCCATGTCTGGGCAGGGTGGTTGGACAGCAGTCGATCTACCGATCATCAGATATTTTTCACTTGATCAGTGCTGATTAGTGTATTTTGACAGTGGGGAAGTCCCCCTGCTGTCAGAATACAAAGGCTCATCAGTGAGGATTCCCCCATCCACACACTTGATGAATCCTGTCATTTTTTTTCCATTTAACCTGCTGGTTGAGCAAAAAAAAAAAGTAATCCTCTATGGCCAGGTTTAGATTTGAAGTATTAAGGCTCGTTTATACGGCAAGCTATATATTATTATTATTATTATACAGTGTTTATATAGCGCCAGAAAGGTTTGCTCAGCGCTGTACATTATAGTGGGGGACAGAACATGAGACAATACAGTGACAAAACAAAACACGACGGGTTCAAGGGCCCTGCTCGTTCGAGTTTACAATCTATAGTTATATATATGGGTTACCCTCAAAATACTCACATAGTGTCACATGCCTGATGAAGGGGTCCTGCGAGACTCGGAAATGTTGCCTTGATGTAACTATGTGATCATTCATTAAAACTTTTGGACCCATATTGGTGATCCTCAGTGTGCTGGTGACATTCTCCCTTGCTGATTATGTTCGGTTCCAGCTGACGGTCGCTGCAGCACCCACTTATACACACAGCCGTTTTTAACGCAGGAACGTGTGCATTTGGATTGTACACTTGCACCCTCAGAATACTGACCCACCATGCCACAATCACATGCATGCTCATGGTTGCAGGGCAGTTGCGGTACAACCAGGGGCGGACTGACAACTCATGGGGCTCCCGGGCAATAGGGGATCATGGGGCCCCTGTGTCCTTGCCCAAACTCAAAAAAGCCTATGAAAAAGGTACCAGGGGCATCTCATGGGTCCCCCTACTGACCCCAGGCCCTCGGGCAGTGCCCGAATTTCCAAATCATCAGTCTGCCCCTGGGTACAACCTTTATTCATTTGAATTGGTTGTATTCGGTGACAGTACTACTTGTCAAATTAATTAATTTTTGTCCTGGCTGCAAATGAAACAGGTACAGCCCTGAACAGCTGCATTTTTGTGTGGGCAGTCGGGAGTTAGAAAGTAGACTTATCAAATATTTTGGCCATCTCACAATGAGCATCTGAGGGAAAAAATACAAAGTCCTGGAAAGTCAGGCTGCAGAAAGAAAGAGAAACTAAATTTAAAGTCAAACTCCAGGATGAGCAAATATTGCCTAAATACAAGAGGGGGGGTGTGTGTGTAAAATGATCAGAATTATGACAAATGATCTATTACATCACAATGACCATATGTATTGAGTCCTACCCCACCTAATATTTGGTGCACTGAAGTGTTGTTTCTATGTGCCAAAAAGGCAGGCAATGTTATCATAAATTGCACAAATTAAGCCATTTCTGTGAAAAGAGCAATTAAAGCTGAATTCTAGGAATTCCGCAACTTTGTAAAAAGTGCAGGAATACTATCATTTAAGTCCAATAAGGTGCATGCCACCTCCTGGACTTATTATTTACATCTGACAGGTTTATGGTTCTCCCAAGGAAGACACCAGGGCTGTGAGAAGAGAGAAGCACACACTGCCCCTCCCATCTACTGCCCATTCACAAAAGCCTTTGTTTTCTATGAATGAGTTTACATAATACAAAGGCTTCTGTGACTGGGTCAAAGGAGGAGAGTGGTGGGCACAGTAGCTACGTTGGCTTTGGAAGCTATCTTCCTGGAATAGCATGAACCTGTCAGATGTAAATAACAGAGATAAGTCCAGAAGGTGGCATGCAACTTCTTGGATTTAACTCAGAGTATGACTGTACCTTTTTGGAAAGTTGCTGAATTCCTGGAGTTCAGCTTGAAGGATTTTCCTATTTCTGATGCACATATCACATTCAACAGAAACATTCATCGCGAATCATTGTTTTTGTTGTGCTAGTAAAAATGTCACAATCTGCTCTATTTTTGTTGATAGTTCATTGTGCCCAGAGCCTGTTCCCATCTCAGCACCGCAGTGCATTTAAAGAAAACATTTCAATTTTGTTTGTATTTTAGTGCATAAGAAGGTTCATAAAAGTCAATGGAGGCACATCAAAGTGCATATAACATGCAATGCGATGGGTTGGAAACATGTATTAACACAGTGGCTAAGTGGTTAGCACTTTGGCCTGGCAGTACTAGGGTCCTTGGTTTGAAACCCAGCTACGGCACCACCTGCCTGGAGTTTCCATGTTTTCCCTGTGCCTGCATGGGTTTCCTCTGGGTGCTCCGGTTTCCTCCCACACTCCAAAGACATACTGGGAGGTTAATTGGCTCCTGTCTAAATTGGCCCTAGTATGTGTATGTATAAATGTGAGTAAGGGACCTTAGATTGTATGCCCCTTGAGGGTTAGGGACTGACAGGAATGTACAATATATATGCAGGGGTGGACTGACCATTTGGAAACTCAGGCACTGCCCGAGGGCCCGGGGTCAGTAAGGGGCCCCATGAAATGCCCTTGGTACCTTTTTCATAGGCTTTTTTGAGTTTGGGCAAGGACACAGGGGCCCCATGATCCCCTATTGCCCGGGGGCCCCATGAGTTGTCAGTTGTAGTGAGTTGTATATATGTAAAGTGCTGTGTAAACTGATGGCGCTTTATAAGTACGTGAAATAAATAAAAATAAACAAGATTTGGCCAATGGATGTCAATTTTATCCACTCCTAATTCTAGATCCAAGACAAAAAAACAATGATGCACATTAAAAACAAAAAGCACCAATGCATGTCAAAATGCACGTCAATGCGCATAGGAAATGCCTGTTGACGCATGACAAAAAAATTGTACACGCACGCATAGATCCAAATTGGCCCCTAAAATAACTCATGGAAGTGTCTCTCCGGTAAAGAGCCAGATTCTATACATAGCAATGTATCAATGTCTTTCCTGCAGAACATGTATCAGCAGTCATAGGATTACCACATGGGGGCTGCTAGCTGCTCCTTCTCAATGAGAATGTTCTGTTTGCTCTTTGTTCCGTCAAGTTTTTTTTTTCTTTAACAAGAAAACCCATCTGTCACAGGATCGCCTTGAGGTTTCTGAAAATGCAGCTTTACAAGTTTGGAAGAATAGCTAAGCTCATTCATAAAACGAGGAAGAAAAATGTTCACGTTGCCTGCCTGCCACACAGCCATCCGAAGTATGTGTGGGAAGGGAGCTGCATGCACAGACCACCTCCACATGGGTATGAATGGGAAGAGCAGTGCGCACAGATGTCTTCAACATGTGTGCAATCATATCTGTGAGCGCACGTCTCCCGCTTGTGTCTGCTCTCCATTTTTGTTTGCCGCTGTCTACAAGCAATAGATCCATCTGAGTGCCGCTTGCCGTAATTGAGACCAGAACAAGCAAACAGCTAAATATACAAATGAAAACCATAGATGTGTACTGTCAGGGGCGGACTGACCATTTGGAAACTCAGGCACTGCCTGAGGGCCCGGGGTCAGTAGGGGGCCCCATGAGATGCCCCTGGTACCTTTTTCATAGGCTTTTTTGAGTTTGGGCAAGGACACAGGGGCCCCATGATCTCCTATTGCCGGGGGGCCCCATGAGTTGTCAGTCCGCCCCTGTGTACTGTTTTATCTGCAAGAGGATTTGCGGATCTGTTTAGTCTTGTGATGTTGGTACCCCTGCCAGACAGCATAGCCAGATCCCGTGTCTCGCTGCAAACTACAGTCCGGCAATGCAGCCTGGTCCAGGACACATTCCAGCCTGTGACTGGGCAATGAAGAGGAAGCATCACACAGAAGAGGATACTGTGCTCTCCCCTTCTGTAAGCAGGAATTCTTTGTTAGACAGACAGCACTGTGTAGACCTATAGAGGATTGATTGGCTCACAGAACTGCCCTCTCTGTCTAAGTATTGCTTTACAGGAGATCAACCTGACCTTGAATGCTTTTCAGTCTTAAACATTTATACCAGCCTTTTTTAACGAAGGAACCCTTGAAAATTTTTCAGGTCTCTGGGAACCCCTCCTTGTATATTCTATCTACAGTTCTCGGTATAATAACATGATCGGTAGGCTGTACAGAAATAGTATAAACTGAAATAAATATTATTATTGGCCAAAAAAAAACAGGCATTGAAAATTGAAGAGACACCATACATTGGTGGTCATTACAGAAGTGACCTCTTACATTGGTGGTCAGTGGAGAAATGTCCCCTTTCATTAGTGGTCAGTGGAGAATTGATGCCTTACATTGATGGTCAGTAGAGACGTAACCATTACATTGGTGGTCAGTGGAGAACTGACTCCTTTCATTGGCGGTCAGTGAAGTGACCCCTTTCACTGGTGGTCAGTGGAGAAGTGATGCCTTACATTGGTGGTCAGTGGAGAAGTGACTCCTTTCATTGGTGGTCAGTGGAGAAGTGATGCCTTACATTGGTGGTCAGTGAAGAAGTGACCCCTTTCATTTGTGGTAAGTAGAGAAGTGATGCCTTACATTGTTGGTCAGTAGTGAAGTGATTCTTACATTGGTGGCCAGTGTAAAAGTTGCCCCTTAGATTGGTAGTCAGTGCAGAAGTGACCCCTTAGATTAGTGGTCAATGTAGAAATGACACCCTACATTGGTGGTCAGTGGAGAAGTAACCCCTTTTATTGGTGGTCAGTGGAGAAATGATGCCTTACATTGGTGGTCAGTAGTGAAGCGACCCTTACATTGGTGGTCAGTGTTATAGTGACCCTTACATCAGTGTATTACATAGATTGGTAATCAGTGCAGAAAAGACCTCTGAGATTGGTAGCCAATGTAGAAGTGACACCCTACATTGGTGGTCAGTGGAGACGTGACCCCTTAGATTGTTGGTTAGCGTAGAATTGACCCCTTACATTGGTGGTCAGTGTGGTAATGATACCCTATATTGTTAGTCATTGTTGAAGTGACCCTTAGATTGTTGGTATACGGAGAGTAGTGACATCTTTCATTGTTGGTCATTGGAGAAGTGAAAACCCTACATTGGTGGTCAGTGGAGAAGTGACCCTTTAGATTGTTGGTTAGCCTAGAATTGACCTCTCACATGGGTGGTCAGTGTGGTAATGATACCCTATGTTGATGAGCAGTGGAGAAGTTACCCTTAGATTGATGGTCTTCGGGAAGTGACATCTTACATTGTTGGTCATTGGAGAGGTGATACCTTACATTGGCGGTCAGTGTTGGTGGAATATCATTCTGCCACTGTTCTCTTCTCATGAAATCCTAAGCAACCCGTGGAGGAAAACCAGGGTTGCCTAGAACCCTGGTTGAGATAAGCTGCTTTATACTTTAGTCCTTTTATGTTGATGTCCTATAGCACTGCCCTACTCAAACTGGGAGAGTGATGATTAGCATTAGGAGCGCTGTACATCTAGGGTGGGATAGACCTTAGGAAGAGAGCTTAGGGATGACAATGATGTCACTGTTACTTTTACAATAATATCTGGGATTGCAAAGACATTTGTTGCACACAAAGCAGATTTATATGCTTTGTGGCTATTAAAACGATAGTAAACCGCGAAAAACAATTCTAAAAAATCTTCTCCCTGCAAGCTAAGAGCATAATGTGCTAGTGTGCATCACACACTAGTACATTATGAATGACTTACCTGAAAATGATGCCCTCAAGCGGAGTGCTGTCACAGCTCCCCGAGGTCCTTAACCCATCAGCAGGATCGGTATCTGCTCCTTTGTGCAAGTAGGAACAGGATTGAGCACTGCCAGAGCCCTACAAAATGACCTCCAGCAGGCCACTGGTGTGAAACAATCAGAAACAGACTTCATGAGGGTGGCCTGAGGGCTTGACGCCCTCTAATAGGCCCTGTGCTCACTGTCCGGCACCATAGAGCTCGATTGGCATTTGCCAATGAACACCAGAATTGGCAGGTCCAACACTGGTGCCCTCTGCTTTTCACAGATCAGAGCAGGTTCACCCTGAGCA